GTGACAAAAGGATTTGTTGTTGAGTGGATCTGCAGGGCTTTCCTGCTCCAGCACAGGGGTCACAGCTGCTTTCACAGACTCCAAGAAGCCAGACAGGGACTGCACAGCTGCTCCGTGCTGGTGGGCTGCTCTGGAATTTATTTTTTTCCCGCACAAATTCCTCTTTGATATGTCCCTGGGGAAAGGACATTGCTTGGGCAATACCTTGCAGGAGGCAGCAGCATCTGTGTGCGAGGATGTAGGTGTTTGTGGGTGTGCTAGCTCAGTCTGAAATGCTGTTTTAGGGGCAGAGCACAGGGATCTCTGTGTCTCACCCACGGGTAGGAGAAGTGGAAGCTGAGTGAGCTGAGTTAGAGCTTGTAACAGGCTGTGCAAGGTTGGCTTGTGTGATTGAACCTCTGTCATTCAGTTCACATGCTGGGAATATTTTCATTTCAAAATCAGACCTAAGTACCTGTGAAGTGTGCTCTCTCCAAAAGTTATTTGTTAATTAGTTTTCAAAACAGAGAAGGAAAAATTGAAATACTGTGGGTTAAGATTTAATAGGAGAGCACTTTGAGGCAGTGGAATCACAAATATATCATATATATCTATCCATACATCTGTATCTATATATCTGCTATACCCTGCCAGGACAACAAGGACAGAATCTATCTAATTTCGTGGTAGTACAGAATTCCTTAAATATGCTGTGGGTAAAAAAATATTGTTAGAAAAGGTTGTTAGAATATTTTACTAATACAGAGAGAAATCACAACCAGCAAAGCAGATGTAATGAGAGTTTCTAGCATGATTTCTTTTTTCATATAGACACAGTGAAAAGTTGTTGTTATTTGAAATAAACTCACTGTTAGTGTTTAGTTTCAGATTCTGACTTTGAAGAGAGGCATTGCTGTGTGTCTGTCTCCTTTCAGTGCATAACCTCTGATAATTATTGCCTTAGATTTGATAACTTTCATATTTAGTGAAGTAATGCAAAGATTAAATAGCAGATATGTGTTACTTAATGCAAAATTAAAATTCACTGTCTCTATACAATAATGAAACTTTCAGTTTTGTGTGAAAAATGTGTTGTATCATTTTTAATACCTGTTATTTTCTTATGTGAAGCACATCTTCCCATAAGCATAAGCATCTAGAAGAAAAACTGAGAAACTTTTTGGTTATTTATGAAATATTTTTTTCTTATGATTAAAATCACTTCTTTCTTCATCCCTAGAAGTGGGCAGGGTGAGAGGTCAGGGGAAAATGACATTTTTGTCATAAGCTTCTAATTCTTGTTTTTATTTCTTAAGCTCAAAATGCAGACCTGGTGGATACATGACGACTGATTTTTGATTAAGGGAACACAGTTTTCTGAATGCTTCTGTGTTCACCTTCCTGCGCCTTTAAAAAAATAAAAATTTGAAAAAATAAAATCCCAACAAACAGTAGAACAGATATTGAAGGGCAGCAGTGTATCAGTCACAGTCAGTCTGTTGTCCCCTGGGACCTCTTCCAGGTCTGCTCCCTCTCTGTATAAATGAAGTGTTTAGTGCTTCAGTGTTTTACATAATGTTTTCTTGAATGATCTGAAAGGGGAAGTAGAAAGCACATTAGTTACATCTGCAGATGATGCAGAGCCAGAGAGCTACAGCAGCTGTAAGGATGGCGAGAAATTTAAATTCATCTGGGGAGCGGCAAAGTGCAGGAATTTACAAAGCTGACAAGAAAAAAAAAAAATTAAAATTCACCGTTACAAATTTACCAAATCACCTCGGAAACGTGATCCAAACCAAAGACATGTTGCTTGTCAAATTAGCTCAGTGAGGTGCTAATGATGTTTTCTTTCGCTCCTGCAGTAAGCAAGAGCTGTTTATCTTGATATCCCACCCGGTTAACTGTTTGTTGTGGTATCCTGATCTTTAACCACTTCCACGGCATCTCCCTGCAGCTGTTTGCAGGTCCCCTGCTGCGGCTTTGGCGATGAAGGACAAATAACTGGACTGTTTCTCGCTTTAGTTGCAAGGAAAACCTTAGCAGTGCGTGGGGAAAACGTAACATCTCCTTTTTAATGATACGCTTTCCCCCCCCTCCACAACGCTTAATTTTAATAGAATTATGTCTGCAATTTACGCGCCTGTCCCAAATTCAGAATCCTTGGATGTAAATTTGTGTTATTTTGTCATTTTCTCCTCTAGCAGTCCACTTTCCAGTTCGGGATGCCAGCAGGACTCCAGAGCAGAACTGCCTTGAGGTTTCTTTTTTCTTTAGGTTGTTTTAGTCCTGCTTTGGGAATTCAGGGGGCCTTTTTGGCTTATCAGCCTCTCAGCACCGGGCTCCTGGTGGGGCAAACACCACTCAGCTGCAATTTGCCGAGATAGCAGCGTTGCTATTGTTAGTGCTGACGTCTGTGCCTGTTAAATAGCTGGTGTAAAACAATTCCCTGCTGGAGGAACAGCCTCAGGGAAGGGGATTTTGGTGCACTTCGTGTGAATTTGTGCTGTGTGACGGAGGCAGAGCGCAGCCACACAGTCCGGGATCACAAGGCACCTTAAAGCCCATCCCATTCCACTCCTTTCCACGGGCAGGGACGCCTTACACTGTTCCAGGCTGTCACATTAGTTTTGTTTTAATTAGGGCTGTATCCAAACACTCCTGTGTTTTCCTGGAGGTAGCTGGATAATGTGCTCCCCACAGCTATCCTAAATTAAGATTAGATGGCTGCAGGAGAAGGGGAGATAGAGAAGAACACTTGTTTTGCAGAAAACCTTACTATTTTTTAGGCCTCCTGGTGATGGGCTTGCTCTCCTCACCTTTGTGGACCTCCTAGAAATGGTCCAGAGGTCTCAGTGCCCAAGACAGGAGGACAGTGAATTTTATTGTGAGAAAGTAGGTAATAGTCAGTTTCTTCACATAAAGCCTGAACTAAAGGCTAAATTAAAGATTTAAAAGTCAGTTAAAGTCAAATTAAAGTGTTGGACTTCAATATCTGCAAAGATGGACACATACTCTTGTGTCCCTGTAGCAGTGTTGGGCTTTTTTTTTATCATTACAGTTGCATTTGGAATGTCTGCTGTGTGTCTGGTGTGATTTTGGTTGTGCAGGCTTTCAGAATAATTCTACTGCTACTCTAACTTATTTCAGGATTATGCATTTGTTATTCTTTTTGTGCAGTGAAAACTGTAATTTGCTTATCCTGGTTAAATAGATTTGCCTATACCTGATCTCAGCTGAATGCATTAAGGCAGAAGACAAAGGTGATGTGCTCTCCTTGCTATTTCCTTCACGGTAAAAGGTTGTGATGCTATTTATCTGTGCTACTGTGCCTCTCTATCTCTGTGAATTCTTTATCCAAATAGCATGGTGGTGGCTTGCAAGTGATGAAACACAGTTTCCTTTACACAAACGTGCATCTTTGTTACTGCTGTCAGACAGCAAGTGTGATATTCAAGGGGGTGCACGCCAATCTGTGGGCTACTGATAGTGTAATCTAATTTCCAAAAATAAATTAAAAGCATCTTTTCATCTGTAGCCATCAGATGCATGCCTGCTAAAGACAACAACGCTTTAGAGACAGCGCATGTGAATTTGGTGGCTAATTGGAAATTAAACCTTTGGGTTTTCCACATTTTCTGATAGACTGACCTTGCTGGAGGAGGTCAGGGTGGTATCATGTGTTGGGGCAGAGCCTTCCACAGATAAAAGGTCCACGTGGAAGGACTGTTCCTTGTTTCAAACAATGTCTTTGATAGCTTTGTGAGCTCTTACTGAGCCTTTTTCAGCCAAAACTTACGCATGGCATTAGTGAAACTTGCATTTTGAAAAGGTGACAAGTGATTGGCATTTTTTTAATAGGTGTCTTTTGCATAATTTTCCATGCCCTCCCAAGTAAACAAATCAAGCTGCATTTCTGATTTTAATAGGTGAGGTGCCACAAGACAGGTGAGGTGCCTTTTTTAAGATGTTACAGCTATTTATTCAACTTGGAAAGATGGGTAATACTTCCCTCCATAGGGAAATGCCACAAAATGTATGTCAGACTTTTTGAAGATGAGAGACAGCGCCTTCTTCCTTCCTCCACTCCCTCAAACTGTTGTGTTAGATATTAATTTGTCTTCACCCAGGCTTGCATGGTTATAGCTCAGCTGGCACTGGTTTGTATGTCTGGCTGAGCTATTCCTCCTTTAACATGACAAAAACATCAGTTTTCTCTTGTTTATCCCAGGCCAGGCAAAACAAATGTGTTCAGACCTCCTGTATATCCTGTACAGCATCCCCACTGCTGAAGAAACACAGTGGTTCATTACAGATCCTTTCACCTCACTGGCTTGATGAGGCTGCCTGTTTAATTGGAGGAGTCCTTTTAAGATTAAGAACTTGCTCTCTGAACCCTGGAGGTCACAACTTACTGGCTAGATTTTTCATATTAGCTGCATAAATCACAGAATCATGGCATCCCAGGATATTTTGGGGCTGGGAGGGATGTCTGGAGATGATCTGGTCCATCGCCCAGGAAGGTGCAGCTGGGGCTGGGATGTGTCCAGCCAGGGACACTCCAGGCCCTCCCTGGGCAGCTGTTCCAGGGCTCTGCTGTCCCTCCATGGACACAAGTTCTCCCTCCTGCTGCCCTGCACCTCGCTGCCCTTTATTTGATGGCCACTGCTGCTCATCCTGGCACTGGCAGCACCGAGCAGAGCCCGGCCCGTGCTCTGGCAGCCCCTGCAGATGTTGGGATGCATTGATGGCATCCCTGGCAGCGTTTCCCTTCTCCAGCCTGCCCAGCCCAGAGATGCTGCAGAGTCCTTCTCAACATTGTGGCCCTCTGGAAATAATTACCATGTAGATTATTCCACATATTCCTCCATTCTCTGCATGGCAAAATTATTATCTCCCTTTAAACTGGAGGACTGTAAGGTATTTCCTATGCATATTAAAGATGTATTCAAGTTTACTGGGGCAAAGCCTCACGTGAAGTTTCTTGTGCAGCCGAAATAACTCATTCTTTCCTTGTGTCTCAGTTCAGTCTTGGATCTCTGAAGCTGAAGGAAGTCCCAAACCCAGCAGAGGTGATCAAGGAACTCATTGGTTACTGCCTGGACAGCCTGGGGAAGCTGCAGGCCAAAACTGAGCATCTGCAGAGGGAAAATGAAAGGCTTTTCAGCAACTGGAGCGAGGCGGAGAAGAGGTGAGTTCCCAGGTGGATTCACAGGTGACACCTGAGAAGCCCAGCAGCAGTGGTCAGAAATTTTTATTCATTTGAGACATGTTTTGAGCTCAGGTAACCACAGCCCATGTGGTTGTAGATCTCCTCCCTTTGATAAAGATGCAGCTGATACTAAAAATTTTCAATTAATGGTGGTTTTAGCTTATGAGTTAGGAAAAAGCCCCAAACACCTCAAAATCTGTGAAACTAGCTTCACTTTCTTTAGGAAGCCTTTTCACTAGTATTATTTCCTATGATTCTTAGGGCTGGCAGTGTAGATTATTTACATTTTTGAGTGAGGAATAAATTGCTGTTTCTTTCATCTGGTTTCTTTGTTGAAGAAGGCAGAATTGAAAGATGAGTGCAATATTATAGGAAAAAGTACCATTATTTTTCAGGAGATTTTTGTAATTGCTGTTGCATTTACAATATGAGTTGTCTATCATTCTGTAGTGAAATAATCTGTGCTTGTTTCAGTAAGCATAGGACTCTTTGAGGGAGATTTATCTTGCTTTTCTGTAGCTTTACCTGAAAAAGCACACAATCTAGGAAGATTGATGAAAGAATGCAGCTAATTGGCGTTAATTTACCTTGAAAAAGAGAGCCAACTTTTTGGGAGGAGTTAGTTTTGTTTCCCTCTCATTAAAATGAGTAACAGTTTCTCCTGACAGTCTGCCTGACAAGCAAAGGGCCTCCCTAAGTAGTGTTTTACTGCTTAACAGTGTAATTGAACAATAGTGTATTGTACAGCCCGTGTTCTGTACTGCATTACACGCTGATGTGTAAGAGGCATTAGTGCTTGTATCAATTTCCATGGTGGGGTGGCACTTTTACAGAGTAACCCCAAAGAAAAGGAGGAATAAGGAAAAAAAAAAAATCAGAGTTGCAGTGACTTTGTTCTCAGTGCAAGCTGGTGGATTTCTTTAGCATGTTTATAGTTTTAAGCAGATGAAAAGTGATTTTTCGGAATATACACTGAAGGTTTTACATTCACCAGTCTTTGGCCATGTCTGTTAAATGCAAAATAAAAATAATTCACAATTAATTTTCATTCAAGAAGTACTGGGCTTTTTTGGTTTGGTTTTTTGAGGGGGATTTTTGGGATTTTTTTTTTTTGTTTTGCTTGGGAGATTTTTTGGGTTTTTTTGGTTTTCTTTTTTTTTATTTTTTGTTTTGTTTTGTTTTGGTTTTCTGTTTCTTTGGTTTTTTGTTGGTTTGTTTTGTTTTTAAATTTTTGGTGCAGTGGTTTTTATTAAAATTCCTTTTGCCACAGCCCAGTTCTACCCTGCTGTCTCCCTTTGCTGTTTCGGCTCCAAATGCTGCGAGTTGCCCCCGAGCTGAACAAAGCTGTGCCTGTCTTTGTTCAGGAGGCAGGAATTCAGGATTTACATCCTGCACCACTCACGGTGCTGAGTGCTGGAACATCAAATACAGAGCACGTGGTGTGCAGAATTGCAGCCAGGGCACACCAGCCCCACAGCCCCTGCAGCTCCCTCTGCTCACAGCCTCTCTCCTCGGGACTTGATTAGAATTAAAACAGAGCAGGCAGGCTTCTGAGAGCTGCTTTTGTGCCCCTCAGTCGTGGGGCACTGGGTGGAATTATTCAATAATCCCATTTCCGTCTCCCTGTTTCAATTCTGTGGAGCATCACGGAGGTTTTGGTGAAGAAGCGTCTGCCTGGGTTTGGGTGTGTGTTTGTGTGTCTGTGTGTGCACACCCCAGGGATGGATGTGTTAAAATATCAGAGCACAAAAGCTGTTTTCTGTATTTCTTATAGAAAATTCAAGGCCAATAGCTGTTTTCTTCGTTTCTTATAGAAAATTTAAGGCAAATTATTTCCAGGCCAGGTTGGACACTGGGGCTTGGAGTAACCTGGGACAGTGGAAGGTGTCCCTGCCATGGCAGGGGGTGGGACTGGCTGGGCTTTAAGGCCTCTCCAACCCAAACCATTCTGCGATTCCATGATAATGGAGGTGGCAAATTTTGAGTAATAATAACCTGTAGCAAAATAAATAATTCCTTGAACAATACAAATCCAATTTCCGGTTTGGGTGCGGGGTATGAATTTTGTTTTTGGACGTCCAAAATTTGAGAGACAAGCCAAATTCAAAATAGCTGCCAATTTATGTTGTGGTCATCTGCAGTGACAGTATATTTAAACCACAAGCAGATTATAAAAATGCAAGCTAGGTACTTTGGGCTTGAAACTGAGTCTACAGCATTAGCTCATCAACATTCCACACCATTGCCAGTGCTGGGGGAAGGGTGAATCTGAAATGCAAGGGAGAGGTGCCGTGGGATCCAGGAATTATTTCAGTGCACTGGGAACAGGGATGAATACCAGAGATGCTGAATTATTTCCTTCATAGTGTTGGATTGTGAAGGTTGCCACTAATAATTGAAGAAAAGACATTAGGCGTCAAAGCTCACGTTCACCTCTGGAGAGCACGTGTGATTGCTCTGTGTTGGGTCAGCACCTGACATCTTGGTTTTTATATTTAATTTCTCAGTTTATTGTTTGTCAGTCCCTAACAGTGTCTGGTTTCAGTGGGCTGTGCAGGATTTTTGATGCCTGTCACCTTGGGTGCATTTTGGCACGTGGAAAAGCATTGCAGAGAGACCTGAGGATGCACAAATTGGGAGGCACCACTCCAATAATTAACCCCTGTTTGGGTTCATCGTGCTGGGAGCTGTCTGTGAGATGAGCAGCTCCTCCATTTGGCCTGGGGAGATGGTGTTTGAGGGGCACAGGGCACACTCAGGCAGCACCACGTGAGGAGTGGCAATTAAAGTTTGTATTTGCAGCCACTGAGGTATTGGAGTGAAACCCAGCCAGCTCTGCTCTGGGCTCAGGTAGTGAATGCCTCAGTGAATCCAGAAGGTTCCACAGAGCCACCCCACCTGCACAATTAATGCATCTCTGTCCCCAAGACCATTGCCTTTCACCAGTCTCTGCTAAATCATCAGATATGCCACATAAAAGTGTATTTTAAAGGCTCATAAGTTGCAGGTACAGCATTAATGTGAAGCTTTTGTGATATTCAGTGTTCTGCCAAATTATTGCCATTCTGTGTCTGGAGAATGTATCTGGATGTGGATAGCTTTGAATAATGGGGAAAAAATCAAAAAAAGGTGTTCATGTAAATGAAAACAATCATATAAAATTAACTGATGGCATACTACTAATTGGTTCTGCCCAGAGGGAAAAGTTAATATTCTAATTCTAATATTCAAGATGCTAATTTTTTTCTCCAGAGAGTAAAGAAATTGGCTAGTCTTGCAGTTGGTTTCTCCACTGTACTACTCACAGTCCAGGCAGCATCAGCTTCACTTCACTGGAAGTTTCCATTTATGTGGGTTTTCATCAGGGGATACCTTTGCAGCACTTAGGGACCCCACTGAAGTTATCTTAAATGGCACTTTTTTGGCCAAGTCAGCCACGTTTCTCCTTATTTGGACCAGCCTCAACTGCTCCAACACAAACCAGTGCCTTGTCAAAGTAAAGGCAGAGAGCAACCACTTTCCCTGGTTTATGTGTGGGAGAGGGGATTATTCTAAGGGATTTGATACAGACAAGATTAGCATATTTTAGACAAAATCCTTTTTCCCCCCATTTTTACGTATACAGAAATAATTTGTATCAAGCATGTCCAGGCTCTTCTGGGCCCTGCATTAGGGCTTATGGTTCTTTGTGAATTGTCTATTTATTCCCCACTAAACAGTTAACTTCCCTTTTGTAGGTGGGAAGTCTCCTGGTACTTGATTAGTACCTATGATCTTTCATTTAGGAATTATTGAACTGATCTGTATGGTAATGATGTTCTGCTATTTGCATTTAAATTAGATGAATTATTTATCAACTATCAAGCATATCCCTAAAGCACTGAACAGTAGGCTTAATACTTCATGAGATTTCACACATTTCACCACAACATAAAAATTGTGAGATTTCTTTTTTGCTATTGTCTTGCTTCCTACATCATATATGGGTTTGATCTGTGAACAAAGTAATTAGTATTTATGTGGGAAGTCTGTTGAAATCTCTTGCCTTATAAATTAATATTTTTAAAGTCTGTTACATGTCTGGGTTAAATAGCATAATAAGCATTCTAAACTTTTTTACAGCCTTGCACAGGCTGGTGAAAAATATGGTTTTAACTTATGACTATTTACTATACTTACCATGATCAGTAAAATTATCAAGATGCTTATTTGCCTCTTGCGTACACAGCTAATAAAATGTTTGTGGTTCAAGCTAAGGACTGAAAGGTTATGAAATATAAGAATTAAATACAGAATTACATTTGCCAACAACAAATCACTTGATTTCTTGTTGATCAACTGCTTGTATTCCAGTTTTGCTTATGAGACTTTATACACCCATATTCTTAATTTAATACTTCCATTTTGCTTCCTTTTATTGACATTCATCTACCCACATAGATCAATACTAAATTTTTTTAAAAACCTGAAGTATATTTTCCTCTGAAGATATTAAGAGCTTCTAGGCATTTTTATATTTTGAAATTTTCCTTTCCTTTTCAAATATATTTCACACCAATGTGTGGTACAGATTTGAAGCCTGTATAGGTGAATCATATCTGTTTATAATCTCATTATGAGACTCAGCTTCGAAAATAAAGAACATTTGCCTGTTTAAATTTCAGTTGTCTCAGGTGGAGGTGTGCAAGAACCTACCAAAAAAAAAAAAAAAAAAGGGGCATGAAAAGAAACGTTCACATCTGGGAACTTCTCTCTTTTAGAAGCAGAGTTCATTGCACTTCTCTCTGTGGAAAAACAACAACAAAAAAAGCTTATTCTGGCCTGTTTCAGACACAAGGGGCTGGACCAGTCCTGCGTGGTTTGGAGTGGGGATTCCTGGCCGGCCTCAGGACAGAATTGTCTTCTAGGAAACAGAGGACTTGGTCTAACAGTTAATTTTGTGCTGCAGGCTGGAAAAATGCGTGGAAGCGAAGGAGGAGCTGGAGGCAGACCTTTACAGCAGGTTTGTTTTGGTGCTGAATGAAAAGAAGGCAAAGATAAGGAACTTGCAGAAGTTGTTGAGTGAAGCTAAAGAACCCGCAGTGGATGCCAAGTGTGCAAGGTATTTAATTTCCCTGGGTTTCTTGGTGTGGTGCACATTTGAGTTCAGCTTCGCTCAGTTTCCATTTCCCTGGCCCTGACAGTGAGTGACAGTTCTTCCTGGCTGAGTGCTGGGTTATCCAAACCAATCCTGGGAGTCAGGGAAGAGGAGGATTCTTTCTGGCATCCCTGCAAGCAGCAGCAGATTGCTGTGGGTGCTGTAGCCAAGAAGTGAGTGTTTGATGGATCTGTCCTGCTTTCTGCTGGGCTGCAATTGATTTTCCAATAAGATCATGTCCCTTCCCTTTCCATAGGTGATGATTTCATGCATATTCTCCCTGAATTATTTAATTCCTTTGAGAAACAAGAATGCCTTAATTTCTTTGCCTTTCTTTTGATGTTTTTAGGGATAGTATAGCTACTACTCAGGTGGTTGTAAAGAGAGAAAACAACTATGATGCCAGCACTGATGAGGAAAGTGAAAATCCAGCACGGGCCTCGTTGCCGTCAGGTAAGACAGAAAGCATTGTCTTTGTGTTATATCACAGACAGGCTTTGTGTGAATAAACCTTGAGGAAGGGAAAATACTACCTGACAGATTGCTCTGTGACAAGCCAGCCAGCAAGCCTTAAAAATACCTCTCCTGGAGCAGAGTACAATACTGGCATTTTCAAATTAGAGAGAGGAGGTTTAAAAGCAGGTTGCACGAGTGAAGGCACTGTCATTTCTTGCAAAGTGACAAATTACACACTTTGCAGAACTAATGACAGTCTAACAGTGTCTGAACCATCAACAATTCCATTTTAAATTCTAGGAATCATGATGTGTGTGCCATGATTGATAAAGTGTAAAAAGGTAGCTCCTGACAGTTTCAATAGTGTTTAAAATGGGGAAAGAGGGGAGTTTTAACAGCTATAAAAAGAGCTGTGTGCATAAATGGAATGAAAGTGTATTTATAGCAGAATCCACTTTAATTTGTCAGAGAATTTTTGGCCTTGTGAAGATGCTCATGAAACTTAATCTGATGAATTTTTCCAGGCCTAGAGCCTTGTAAAGTGTGTGGGATGCAGTGATGGCCCATTATACAGTACAAAATATTTAACTGTGAATCAGAATTTTGGCATGTTTGTGATAAACTAGTGGGAATACCCGGGACAAATGCTATCAAAGTTTCAAACTGCACTGATAGTTGTAATCTGGTTTATATGTATGTATAGATATATACACATATGTGTATAAAAATAGATACATACAGTTCCCTTCAGGTCTGCAAAGGTTGCTATGGGTTCTCTCACTGGAGCTTTTTATTTCCACCACAGGTGAAGGTAATCCAGACAGCAATGTTTTCCTGTAAAACAGCAATTTTCTGTGCATATTGAGAACTGGAAGTGTTTGGGACCCTGGTGCCAGTGGCAGAACAGCTTGGTCACTCATGTGGGCCTGTTTGCAGAGGAATTTCTGGTTTTATATAAAGTAGGCAGAGCTTCAGACAAGTGGAGGAAATTGTGATCACAGAAAGAAATAATTTAATGCTGCACTGTGCTCTCCAGAAGTCTTTGCTGTCAGGTGGTAATTGTTCAGTTCAGGTAACACGATGAGAAATTTGTTTTGTGAAAAGGCAAGGAAAAGTGGAAGGTGTGGAGTCTTCTTCTAAGGTCAGTGGGGCCTAACTAGCTCAGTGAGAGTTTTGAGACAGAGATATGCATTTAATAATGAAAACAACACCCACTGCCCTGCTCAGGCAACCGGGAGGGACTGGACTGGAAAATACACCAGCTGTGTTTTTATTTTAGGTGCAAACAAAAAATGTACTTTCTTTTGTCTTTGAGGGATGCAGTCCTCAGGGTTTTGGTCCTGACTGGAAGAGTTCAGATGCAAAATTTGCAGATAACATGAAAAGACCATAAAGTTAATGCTCGGGGTAGCACAGTTGAGTTTTTCAAGGCACTGCTGAGCCCTCACAGTGAATATCCCTGAGGTCAGTTGCTGCTCCTCCTGTGTCCACAGCTTTCTCTCCCAGTCAACAATGGGAAAGCACAGCTGGGTGCTGAGTATCTGAAGTCTGTCCTAGAATTTTCACACTCAAAAAGAGGCAGAGCATATCCTTATGGAGAAAATAGTAATTCAGGGATGAGTGGGATGAGTGGATAATGAAGCTCAAAGCCACATGAAGCATCAAGGACTGTAAGACATAAAAGATAAGACAGATAATATTTGGGGTTTTTTTCTGTTTATCTTAGTTTTCCTATATTCTAGTTCATCACTGTATTTCTTTCCCTTTTGGACTTGAAATGTCATTGCAGGAGTCAATGAGAATTAGAAGATCATTGAGGTAGTTTCAGTAGATACTGGTGAAACCCACAATCAAGAGAGAAGATCATAATTAAAAAACTTCTTTAAAGGAAGGTGAAGGCAGGTGTGTGTATGCACACATAGATGCACAGTAAAAGTGCATTTGTATAGATGCATGTCTAAATAATTCACTATTAATTGAAAAAGCAGCCGTGCTCAGCAAGTGATTTGGTTTGTGTTGGGAGGGGAAAACTTGCGGTGGTTCCATCACGAGATAATTCTGTTCTAGCAGCTCACAGGAATGTTACACAGAAGCTATGAAATCCAGAGAAAATAATTTTCAAAATCATCATCATTTGCAAAATCAGAAAAATCAAAATCAGGATTTGTTGAACTGCAGAGTTTAAAACTCTGTCTTAAGGTTTTTCTTACTCACCAATAATTGTTCTTCTCGCTGAATTTTTGGGGCACTCAAATGCCAGGGTATTTCAGTGGATATGGAGGAAAAACCTGCTGATTATTAAAAGAAAACTGAATGACTTATTTATCAGTCTGGTGTTGATCTGATTGGAAATATTGTAACAAGATCCAATGAAGAGAAATGTTAAGAAAATGAGTAAGAATGATTCATTGCAATCTTTGTAAAGGGGCAGAATCTGCAGCCTAAAAGCTTACATAAAATTTTTTCTTTTTTTTGGCATTTCCAGTGCTATTTGTATGTTTGATTTATGGTTTGCTTTCTCACAATTTCTGCTTCATAGCTTAAAGCAAAGATCAGCTGAAACGTGGGAGTTTTTGTCTTGCTTGCACACTGATGTAGTTAATGCTTTATATTGTAGAGGGAGAAATTACAATTGAATTAGTAAGTATTTTAAAGCACTCAGAAAAACAACTGATGAGAATCACACCCCTTAGAAATAGTACAATATATACAAATAATAATATATTTATAAATAATACTGTGTGTGATTCTACAAAGGAGCTTTGCCTGCCATGCCATAAGCACGGGGGGAATTTATTTGAAATCTTGTTTAGGGCTGTGAATGCGAGGTTGAGAAAGGCACAGAGCTCCAGCTCTCACTGCAGTTTAATAATTTCTGAAGCAGCAGCTACAGATGATATGTCAGGTCCTTGAAATGCCTGTGAGCTCCTGCTTGAGAGAGGAAGGAGGAGATGAAGGAAATCCTGCTGCTGTTCCTCATGGATGGAGTGTCAGGAATGTTTCTTGGGAGCAGGACAGGGTTGGTTTTGCTTTGGCTTGTTGAGGTTTTGCTCCAGGGCTGGTGAGATTCTCGGGGTTACCAAACCCAGGTGTTTTCTGTAGTGGTGCTTCAGCAAAGCTCCCCCCATCTGGAGCAGAGCTGGAAATACCTCAGAAGGTGTGGAGTGGGGTAAGGCTGTGGTTCCCTTCCTGTGCTGGTGCCACTGGACACAATCGTTCCTTAAGGGGGAAAAACCAAACCACAAACCCCAGAAATCACCAGCCTGTGTTTCTCTTAGCCCACAGGAATGGGGGGGTGACTCAGCACGATGCCACCACACTGATGCAAGATGTTTCTGTCATTTTAGGATACAGAAACACTTACTCTGGTTAAGGACAACAGGTTCCTCTTTCTTCCCCTCTGCACTGAATCGTACTGGTTTTGTTTACTGAGCCCTTCCTCCTTGAGATCCTGAAATGGCAATATCAGTCTGATAAATCATAATTTGATATCATGGTTGGAAATGATGGCTTTGTCCTGCAAATCAGCTCCTTTTACTAACTGAAAAATGTTTTAGTGGTCCACTTGTCAGGAGGCTTTTAAAACATGAGCCAGCATGGGATAAATGTTCCCTCTCCCTGCTGCCTTCTGGGGAGCTTGAAAGGGAGATGGAGGGTAACAGTTTACTCTTCACAGTGCCTGGAAAGTGACCAGAAAAGAGAATATTATTCCTCCTCCCAGGTATATGACAAAACTGCAGGGAAAGATTTAATTATTGCAATCTACTGTAGATAGGAAGGATAACATAGCAGGTGGGATGTAGGAAGACATTGTTTAATGATTTATTGTTGTTATTTTCATTTATAAATGCTATTATATGTGTCTGCCTCTGGACAGAACAAGGCTGCTGTGCATCAATTTACAGTTGGATTGCATCCTGTTTTATTTTCTCTTGTCCCTGAATTCCTTAGTTATATTTCACATTATAATTGGTAGGAGTTACCTCCCCTTAGGGTAAGGAGGGATGTCATGCTCTGCCCTGTTGGATCAAATAAAATTTTATGATCTGTGTTTCTTGCCAAGTTGTGTGGAAATATTCCACATTTCCCCAGACATTCAGGGCCCACACTTTTCCGCATGTTTGATGATGAGGACAGGTTCAGAATTGGTTGTGCTAAAATCTCTGCAGAGCCCACAGTAAATAAGAGCAAGCACCTTGCCATCTCCCAGTGCCTCACCATGCAAATGTTCTCACCCCCTCCATTCAAGCTCCTGCCTTGGGGATTGTGTGTTATGCCCTCAGGACTTTGTGGCACTTTAAATTTAATTAGCTCTCCTGTGTAGTCCAATCCACTGATGGCTTGGTGCTGCTGGTTAATAAGCTTTGATCAAAGTTAATAATAATAAAAAAAGCCTGTTGTAACAGCACCCGGCTATGCTGTGCAGTTAAAGTTCCATCTGTGAAGGCTTCTCTTTAAAAGTCTGTTTTTAAGGAGTTTCAGTACTTAGCCATCTTAATTTACCTCGGGTTTGAATTATTTCTCCTTTTGTCAGGCTGTAATTGAAAATGGTTCATCCTGAGGAATAATCTCATTTCCCTTTCCCTTAAAGCTGTAGATACCTTTTCTTTTCTTCTCCCTGAAACCTGATACTGATTTTTCCCCCCACAGCCCGATGGTATTGTGCCTCTGAAATGCTTGTGGTGGCCAAACTGGTTTCCCTCTGTGTTACACCAGGTGTCATGGTCAAAATGCATTTGCAGGACAAGTATCAAAATGCTCCATGCCCCTTTAAAAACCCTGGTATGAGTGTTGCACTAAGAGGGATTTACAACATATTACCATGACATTTTTCTATGAAAATTATCAAAATTGCTTATATCTCTGCATATTCTCTACACACCTTCTTTTTGTTCCTGCTTCAGCATTAAAAGTGATGCAAATGAATGTGGTTTCCCCAAAATGAGTCATTTTTCAATGAAATTCTGTAATTGACAGAGGCAGATTTGTGCTTCATT